AAAAAATTAATAACTTAACTATAGGATATATGTAACACAACTGTAATATTATACATACATTAATATTACTAACATTTTATATCTTAATAGCAAAAATCTTATTCCTTATTTTTTCGAAACAAGAATTTTAATAATTGTACAAACTTTAAATATCACTAGTAAGATAAATTTATATTAATATTCGAAAAACTGATCACAGAAGAAAGATACAACTATGATACTCTAATTAAAATAACTTTAAAGGAACTTTCATCTTATCGTACTATTATTCTTATCGTACCATATCATAGAATTAAAAAACAAAACTAAAAATTGCAGCCTTTTCGATCTATATCTAAATAGTCTTATTAATACAGACAACTTTTGTTATTTCTACTTTTTATCTTCTTTTCATAGACAGAAGCTTTTAAGCTTCTTTCAGTAAGCTTTGCTAAAGTATTAAGCGTATCACAAACTTAAAAAATGTAAAACTAAAAATTGCAGCTTTTCCGATTCATATCTGAACTCTCTTTAATACTGAAAAGGTTTGTTGCTTCTACTTTTTATCTTCATTTTCAACAAACTTTTGTAAAATTTCATTAAGTGTATCAAGTCGATGCATTACCGATTCATAAGGTTTATTCTTGTCTAGATTTTTCTTTTATTTCTATAAATTTTTGGAAATTTTTGTCAACTGTAGTTGACAATTTAGTCATTTTTGGAGCTGAAAACACAAAAAAGATTTATATCAAATATTTATACTTATATAAATATATTTATATGTACATATTTTAATTTTTTATTAATAAAAACGTACAAGGCTCATCACTTTTAATTTCATTTTTTGAATTATGTACTGTTGATGATTGAGTACATAATGGCTTTACCTATGGTTTTTTCCCAAATATTTCTTCCATTTGCTGCAAAGTTAATGATAATATTTTAATAGCTTCAATAAAATAAATTTAATATAATATAATAAAAATACAGCAACAATAAATTTACTTCATAATACTGCCAGGTTTGACGATCATTTCCTGATTTTGAATTATGATCCTTGATTTCCTTATACATTCTTTTCATACTTATTAATTTTGTCATACATTGTTTTGGAGAAAACGAAATATTTTTATTTACTAATTTCTGATATTTTTTCATAAATACTTTTATGACTCCATTTTCCACTATTTAAACTTGGTTCATATTTTTGGTATATGTCCAAAAATAATAGAGTTGTGCTTCTTGACCAAATAGCTAACAATTCAACAAATGAATAATTATATAAATTATACAAATTAAAAACTAATAAATTTAAGTAATAAAATGATTACTAAGAAAAAAAATTATGAATGGCAGACCTGTCTCAGCATTTTCAATTTCACAACTATTTGTTTCTTTTGTGTTAATGTTTAGAAAATTATTTATTATTAATCGTGTGATACACAGAAGGCGGTCAAGAGAGTGTGTTGCAAAAAAGAGGGTAATAAATCTAAAAGAAATACCAACCTAAAAAGAAAAAGAACAAATATGGTTGCTGGGAGAAAATAACTAAACAATGAGCGCGATATTTGAATAACTAGAGATTGAAGAAGTGTAATCTTGCTACAGAAAATAAATGTATGAATTCATTAATCTATATTTAACATTTTGTAGTGCTATTTTCTTTATTACTTTCGTCACTAACTTCATTAACAATTTCAACATTCTGTGAAGTACTTGGAGTTATTCCCGTTTCCTTGACGTTTTTCACAATTTTGAAAGCATAATTCTTATCTGTATAATAATAATATAAATTAAATAGCAGGTCCTGCACATGAAAATTCAGATTTTGCGCAAAAAAAATTAAGAACAGAGATTAACACATAACGCACAAAATACAAATATAAGACGAATATTTATTCCCATACCAATATTTCTTTCACTCATACACGAGGTCATATTAAAATAAAAATTAAAATTTATGAGATAGTTTGTTAGATTAGGTTATGACTTTTTAATAATTGTACTTCTTATCAGATAATGCTTTTTCGTGGTCTTCAGATGTAAGATATATTATGTAAGCTTTATTTTCCTTTCCGTCAATGCTCTCATATTGTATTAACTGAGACATTTTAATTTCTCCTTTTTTCTTAAAGAACTTATACAAAACCGTTGTGTATACCCATATGTCAGTCGCCATATGCATAAATCCGGATCTACAATAGATGTTTTAAGACTTAAGCCGTAAGAAACTGACCAATTACATTCGAATCCGAGGGGAATAATCGATTGTGATTCGTCCATTTCTTATAACTTAAGGCTTAAAACCCTATTGTAGATCCGGGGTTACTGAACTTGCACTACTTTCTCAAATTGTATAAAATCAGCCGAAAGTCAGCAATTCTCTAGGATTTATTTTCATGAAAAAGATAGTAGTTACAGCAGAGCAAACATGGCTGAAACCGATTTTGGAACGAGAAAACAGTATTGTCAGCACTGTCAGCAAATTTCGGAACGCCCATATGTTAATAATTGCAAATTTATATCACTATGGCTGCGGTCCACTTCGAAGCGTTTGAGCTACCAATCAGAACAAAGAATTTTACGAATTGACTAATCAAAGAATGCTTCGAAATGTTTGTAGTGTCAAGTGGACCACAGTCTATATTGTCGATAACGTCAGCATTCTTCAATTACCTCCGAGATCTTTTTTGTACGAGTACTAAGTAATTAACGGATGAAAATAATATGCCCACGAAAAAAAAGAAATACTTCTAAAGCCTATTCTACAATAGGGTCGTAAGCCATAAGAAATGGGCGAATAACAGTCGATTATTCCCTTCGGATTCGACTATAATTGGTCAGTTTCTTACGGCTTAAATTTAAAACATCTATTGTAGATTCGGATTAACACGACTTAACACAACGTACACAAGAATGCACAAAGTGTAGCATTGTGCACGATTCAATTGGAATAGAATGGGTGCATCCAGAAGCACGATAACTCATTCAGCGCTCAGTGAGTTCTTGTACCTGTTTGGTCTATATCATGGACGTATAAGGGCCACCAAGTTCAGTTAACTTAACTGGCCAGTTAGTCCATCGGAATTGACCAATCGCATTTGTCATTTTGTTTGAAGCAAACAAACGCCTGGCCAAATGAAGCTATTATTAAGAGTTTAAAATTTAGATTTGCTCTTTCCAATCACGGTTATCAATACATTTGTAATATGGGCTATCCTTTACCTTCGTATTCTACGATTATGCGTAGAATTCAAGATTACAAAATTGATTTTAGAATTTTCGACGATGTTATCCAGCTGCTAAAATTCAAAGTCGAAGCAATGGATCCAATAGATATTGCATTTTATCATACGATGAAATGCAAATTAGTAAACAACACGATTATGATAAAAATGTTGGAAAATTCGTTGGTCATGAAACTTTGGATAATTGTAGTGATAACCTCGGAGAAAAACTATTTGTTGTAATAGTACGAGGGATAAAAAAATCACTGGAAACAAGTTGTTGCGTGTCACGTAATGCGGTTGAAAACCATTGTCTCTCAACTTTTGAAAAATTTTATGCTGAGTTATATAACATCAGTTGAGTCATGCGGTTTGTATATCATGGTACTATCTTCAGACTAAGGGTGCGTTCCTTTATTTACTGCAAGTACTGATGCTATGACGTCAAAAAGTGTACTGCCAATAGCGTTCTATTTTAACTTCGAGAACTATCGAGGTGTTGCAACTTTACAAATCGGAACTTATCGCAGTACGCTTCGTTCAACTAACCAAGTTAACGTACATTACGTCCACTGACCACTGTATATTATTAACATTGTTTGTTTTTCGTAAACAATGAGTGAAATACTCAATGAAAATATAATTGCATTTATTGCAACTATACTAGTAGAAATTATAGCTGAGGATGAATCAAGTGATAGTGATAGCGATACAGAAATCTACAATAAGATAATCCTTGCCATTTTCAGCTCTTTTTGCATCCTCGGGACTAACAATTATTTTATATGATTCATTAGTTTCACTATCGATTAAGGTTATCTCTAAGTAAGTAGCCATCTTGAACTGCGACTGCTTTACCTCGCTGGCTGCAGTAGTTTCAACAGGAAATGACATCAAAATTCATGATGTCATAGATCTGTACAAGTGCTTTCGCAGTACACTGTAATCCATTTTGGAACGCCGTTGGTAGTACTGGCAGTACTTGCAGTAAATAAAGGAATGCACCCTTAGACAGTAGGAACAGAGCCTTATGGACATCGTTAAACCTCCATGCGTCGAGATTCGAAATTAAAAATCAATTTATATGTAATAATCATTCAGTGTATGCTATTCTAGATACGTGTCATATTTTAAAAAATCTAAAATCATCTATGTTAAGACAACGTATTTATTTACCCGAAGTATATGTGGAGTTGGAAAAGCTTCCTACAAACATAGTTAATGGAGCTTACATTAAATAGTTGTGGCAATATGAAATTTCTAATGGTATGGAAAAGCGGCTATTACACCATCTTCGAGCAGAGGATATCGAGCCCACGACATTCGATAAAATGAACGTTGGCGTAGCCGTTAGATTTTTCTCCATGAAAATATCAAGTGCAATAAAAACGGCTGTTCAGATTGACATAATGGCTGCGTTCAGCAGAACGTTTGTTTTGCAACTGTTGGAAGTTTCCTTCGCGCTAATTGGATCATACTTTTAGATCTAGAAGAATGGTCCTATCTCAGCAGACAATCATAAAACGGTTGCAAAACTGTTGAGTCTGCTGAACGCAGCCAAT